TTTTGTTTTTAATTTCTATTTCTTAGATAATAGACACTTTATTCAGATGAAAATCCATTATAAATAATAAACAACGACTTGCCATTTAAACCATTAGATGATATGTGCGGTGCATGTATATCTTATTAGTCGGTATCAAAATCTTCTATACAATTTCAACGAATATGTTAGGAATTTTTTTTTAAAGTATATCGAAATGCCAACTTTTGAGGATGAGAACATTAATCTTATATTTTAATCACATAACACTTGTATTCAAAATGAATTTAAATATCTGTGGAGTTGAAATATATATTAAGATTTAAGATAGTTGAGATACTATTTATAATAGTTACTTTATATTACACATATATATGTTACTCTATGATGTTAAGGATACAATGTTTCTTTAAGATATATTTTTTATAGAACATTTCACACAACTTTTTATATTTATCTACCTTAATAATAATTTGCAGGTAAATCCTTCCACTGGAAACAAAAAATTAGATCCTATCAATTTTTTTTGCATATGTGATCACTAATTAGTACACATATATGAACCCAAAAGTATAATTTGATGAAAAAATATTTTTCAATCTGCATCAGATGTGGCAATCTGTTGTACTTTAAACTAAATTATGAGACAATAATTACAACATCTACATCTACTCTCAAATTTAGATTATTTGAATAATTTGATATGTAAAATATTGCTACACCCTGAATGTGACTGACACTCAAGAACCATTGTTGGTCCCCAAGCGAACTACAAGCGGAAAACTAATTCAAGCAATAATAAGCTTAAAACTGAATTAAATCCATTAAACTCAAATACTCAACTCATAAAGTCTGAAAATGCTCAATAGCAATATTTATAGTTTGTAAAACAACTCAAGAAAAAATAAATACTGAAAGACTCATCAACTCTATCTATCTATGAGGCCTTTATAGTTCAACATGGATGTTGGGACAAGACCCAGAACAACCAAAAAAGACTAATCTGAAAGGGGGGGGGGGGGGAAGAAATCCTCCGGAATGCAAAGGAGGCTCACCAAAGCTAGCTGGAATGTCTAATGATCTCAACGAAGTGCCTGTTGATGATCATGAACACCTATATCTGCATCATTGTAAGATGCAGATCGAATGACATCAGTACATTAAATGTATGAGCATGTAAGAAGAACTAAAAACATAGATAACTAAACTAACAAGACTAGAAGAGTACTCACCTCAACTCAACTCAATACAAAAGCAATAACAAAAGATAAAATGTTTAAAGCTTCATAGTAAACAGATACTAACTCAAGGATGTATATAAAAATACAATAATTTACTCTTTACTTTTATTTGGGAGATTTTCTAACTGACAACCATCACTATAAGCTATGTGATGACACAACGTCTCGCCCACGCTGTCAAAACTGTCATATACCTTGTCGGGATATAGAACACCTCAACTAAGTGGATTCACTAAACTATACTTAAAAGCAATAAATAATCGTCTAAAAAGTACGACCCTTGACATGAACTTGGTAAGAATGTTTTTGCCCAAAAATAAAGGTGGTAAAGCAATTGTATTACACCATAATAATGAGTATAGATTGTTTTTTTTTAATTTGATACAACCATTTAGGCTAATTTAATGTAAAGCATGAGAGGAAAAAAATAAGGAATAAATGAAAAAAAAATGGAATATGAAGAGACACAAAAATTAATTAGTACTGTAATTTTTCAGAGATTAATACACATTACACAAAAAAAAATAAAAAAATGAGGCGGCACAAAAATTAATTAGTAGTATAATTAATAAAAAATTAATACACATTAAAGATCATTTTAATTATAAATTATGAAGATGAAGGAAAGATTAATAAGATAAATTGAGATTTTTGGATGAAAAACACGACATAGAAGAGACTAAGGGTTTGTTTGGAAGGACACTCTGGTAATTGGATTTGGTGTAATTGGTGTAATTACACTGTCTTGTCATGTTTGGAAGGACAGGTAATTACTTGGTCAGCAGGTAATTGGTGTAATTGGCAGGGGTAATTACACTCTACAATTCACAGGCAAATGTTGTGAATTGCTGGTAATTACATGGTGTAATTACCACCTGATTACTTTTTATTTATTTTTTAATTTCTATTTTAATTTTTTTACTTCTATTATTTTAAGTTCTTTTTTTAATTTTATTATTCTAAAAAATTGTAAAAGTTTATTTTATTTTATTATATTTCATTTTCTTCTTATTCTCAACCTTACTTTACGTGATTCTATATAATTTTTCGTATTATCTATTTCTTTATTCCATGCTTATTTTTCATTAGCATAATTTTATTATATTCTAATTTTTAAATTAAAATAGAATTTATTGTTAAGTAAGTTATTAGGCTTAACGTTTTCTTTATTAAGAAAAACTAAAACTAAATCATATTAATTGCTAATGTTGAAATTTGTTATAAGAGTATTATGTTAAAATTTTTAGTTTTGAATTTATAACTTATGTTATATTTTCAGTTTCATTTGTTTTAGTAATATTGAATCTACATTGCACGTCATTTTTTAATTAGAGTTGATAAATTATATTTTTATCAAACCTTTAATAATTTATGACATTTTATTTATATATTATTCTTTTTATCAAACATGCATTTCACGATGTTCGTAGAAACTTCATACTTTTAGTTGTTACGATCAATTCAATTGAAATATATTAATTTGAAAAAATATAAATCAATTATTTTTACATAATATTCAACTGTGGCATCCAAACAGGATATGTGTAATTACAGTGTAATTACACTGTGGCAACCAAACAGGTCAGTGTAATTACTAGGCTAGTAATTACTACCCTAGTAATTACACCAATTCCAATTACCAAGTGGCTTTCCAAACAGACCCTAAAAGAACTAAAGCCCAAAATAAGTTTGAAAACATTTTTGACTTTGTTGTGAATAACTCCAACTCAGATTACAAATGGGGACCCACAGTTTGTTTCGCTCCCAGACAATCTCCGTCACCGCTTAAGATGCTACGTGTGAAAACTACGCAATACAGTGTAATTATTAGGCTGGTAATTACTATCCTAGTAATTACACCAATTTCAATTATCAGGTGGCTTTCCAAACAGACCCTAAGTAAAAATATGATATTATGATTTATTATGAACTTTTCATTTAAGGTCTTTCTACTTGTAATATGATATGATTTATTATTTAATAATTAATTGAATGATTTATAATATTATAATTTAGTGTATGGATAAAACAGTAATTCAATTTTGCATTTTAACGTGTTGCTGGGCATTTTAGGGAAACTTGCTACAACCATGAAGTACGTTAGCAAAATTGGTAAAATTAAAAGGCAGTTCTTCTCCTTTCTGTTTTTTCTTCTTCTATTTATCGTCCACGCAATAGGTTATTTCATATCTTGCCTACATAGTAGATTTTTAGAGGCACATAAGTTCATTTACTATTAATAGGTACTTTGATGGTCAGTTGACTCAATTATCTGAAGTAGGGGTGTACAAAATCGAACCGAAAATCGAATCAAATTGCAAATTGAGTTAAATCGAGAAAAAAACTCGACTAGTGGTTGGTTTGACTTGGTTGGTATTGGAAAAAAAAATCGGACTATTTTTGGGTTGGTTTGGTTTTAACTAAAAAAAAATAACCCGAGATCAAACCAACCCGACATTATATATATAATTTTAAAATTTTATTTTATACATAAAAATATTTACTTTGATATAATTTTTAAATATTTCTTATACTTTTTCATAGCTTTTATCTTTTAATATATTATTTCAAATTTGAAACTTAGAATTTTGAATGGTTCAATAAAGATTATAGTCCATAGATGTTGGTAATTATAATAAAGCTTAAATCAAAATCAAATTAATACTAATGCAAAAAGAAAATCAATTCAACACTAAGAATGACAATAATATTGAATATTTGTTCTTTAGTTTTA